ATATATATATCCATCCAGCAATTGAAACACTATTTCTTCGCTTTTTAGTTTGTTTACTTTCGCTTTCATCCGGATTACTCCTTAAACTGACATTTCTCTACATTCGGAGATTTGTTCTACCTGAAATAAAGTTATGGACCTATTTGAACCAACCATAAGAGAGAGAGAATTCGGTCGTGCTTATTTGATATTGTTGACGATAATCTAAAGGTTTTTGCCCCATAGCGAGTCATAATCGACCAATTCGTAATCGTTCCATTCCCATACATCTGCGCCCATCTCTACTGATTTACAATGTCTGCTCTCTGCATCTTGCGAACCTATTTGACGCAACGAAATTAGGTACTCTTGTTCGTCATCGTGTAGAGAATATGCTAAGATCGGGCACCTTATGTGATTATTAGCATCCCGTAACGTCAACCGAAAGGCAATGATGACTATCCCACAACTTTCAAGCACCCTGTTCTATGTGACATAAGCCATTTGATTTGCAGGGTCACAGAGACGCAGGTGATAAGGCGCAGTCCCACTCTGTTTTTCGGATTAACGACAGAAACTAACTGCTAATAAAAATACTGATAATTAAACAACATGAAACCAGCTGTTGAGAAAACTGTTTATGCTTCACGTGGCACGATGCAGCTACCAAGACTAAATGGCGTTTTATACTCATGTGCGGCTCCCGCCCGAGGTGAAAGCGGCGACTGCATTTTCTTTTCTAGTGCGTGCGCGGAAAACTATACTATTGCAGCATAGTCAGTTAGAAGACGATGACATGCAGAGGCCGGCCGATGTACAAGTCAGTGTTTTATCCAGACGAATCTGGTACCAATTCACCGTCCCCGGAGGGTAGAAGGCTTGGCTGGTGGGGCCGATCCGGGATTTGAACCCCGGATCGCACGGGTGGTAAGCGCACACTTGTCACTCCTGCCCAGAGGTAGAGGCGGGAGGGGGAGGGGGAGCACGCGAGGAAAACACAATCTCCCTCTCTGCCATTTCTCAGATTTTCCCCAACTTCCTGTCACTCATTCCGGAATTTCCGAAAACTCCGAAAAATTTCCTGCTTTTACACAGAAATTTTGCTGTTGAGCGGTAGAGTGGGGGGGGGGGTATATAATACACATGAAAAGTCAGCAACGCCTCTCAGAGGGTCACGAGGAAAATATCACTCCTCCCCCTCCAGCAACGACCGAATACGACCCCCTACCCCTTTCCAACTTCCCTGAAACATGAAAAATTAACCATCGAAATTTTTTTTCTCAGCCCGAATACGACCCCCTCGCAGCACCAAATAAGACCCTTTCCCCA